GGCGAAGCGAAAAGCCTGCTTTGCGTGGCGAGTATCGAAGAGTCAACCCGAAAATGAAGTGTACCTCGAACTCAGGAATCGATGTAACATACGAGTCCGGAGTGATAGAAGGACATTTCAGAGAAACCTCGCCAATAAGCTTCTCGTGAACCCCAAAAGCCTATACAGGTTTATGTCTGAAAGAAAACCGACCAACCAGGGAGCTTGCAACCTAGTGGGTTCTGATGGGAAATCTCTTACTAGTCTTGAAATGGCAGAGACATTCAGTCTAGGCTTTCACAGGCAACTGAACAGTAATGAAGATTTTACCCCCACAAAACATCAAGATTACAATGCAATACCAACGTGCGAAAACCTGCTGGGTACATTTCAAATCACCCTGGCTATGGTACTCGTAAAATTGGGAAAGTTGGCTTCAGGACAGTCTGCAGGTTGCGATGCCATAAGACCGTCCGTCCTGAAGCAGTGTTCAGAAAGTCTCTGCCAACCCCTGAGTGATCTGTTTCAACACTCCTTTGATGTAGGGAAACTTCCATGTGAATGGAAACGAGCCATCCTATCCCCTATCTTCAAGGGTGGTGACCGGCAGAACGCGACCAGTTACAGACCAGTTGCGCTACTCCCAGTGATATCGAAGATATTGGAAAGTCTCATTGACGACCACATGAGAAAATACTTCGACAGGACTAACCTACTCCATGAAGCACAGCACGGTTTCAGGAGGGGAAGATCCTGTGTGACGAATCTTCTACTAGCTTGGAACGATTGGACACTACCCTGGGATGTAAAGGTACCAGTCCATGTGATCTTTCTCGACTTTGCGAAAGCATTCGACACAGTTCACCATGGTCTGCTCCTTCGCAAAATAAGCAAAGCGGGTGTTTCTGGAGCACTTCTCGCATGGCTGAAAGATTGCTTAGGCGAGAGAGAATTCTGCACCAAAGTCAACCGCACCCGATCATCCTGGCACACCTCGGCATCAGGGGTTCCTCAGGGTTCTATCTTAGGGCCGTTGATGTTTTTGATTTTTATCAACGACCTGCCCTGTCAACTGAATTGCTCTGCGCTTCTTTACGCTGACGACGTAAAGATTTGGAGAGCAATAAACTCATTGGAAGACTCCGACAGATTGCAGACTGACCTGCAAACTCTGGGAGACTGGGCTCTGGCTAACGGAATGCCTTTCAACTTAAAGAAGTGCAAAGTAGTGCAAATTCATTCCGGCAGGTCACAGAGTGCAAATTACACCCTTGGTGGCCAGAACTTGAGTTGTGTGCCATCAGAACGCGATCTAGGCCTTATTTTAACAGAAAAGCCAGACACCAGTGTAAATTACACGAGGGACGTCGCAACTACGCAGCTTTTACACCCCAGAAGCCAGGTTAGCCATATATAATATATGCATTCGCCCCAAACTTGAATACTGTGCCCACTTATACAGTAGCTTTAAATCAGTAGACAGAAAAAAAGTTGAAAGTGTCCAAAGATTCCTCACGAAACGCATATTAGGTTATGATCAGCAAATAGAATACCTTGACAGATGTATTCGACTGGACTTAGGACCCTTATGGTTAAGGAGAGTGAAGTGCAATTTTTTTCTCTTATTCAAAGTTATAAGAAAGCACTGTAACAGTAACTCGTCTATAACCTGGGCTAATCCTAAATCGTATGGGCTACGCAACCATAACTGCCTTCTCAAGGTTAACACCCGTAAGCTCACCACTAGAGCTAACTTCACCATTAAATATTGCAAACTTTGGAACCAACTACCCTCTGAGATTAGATCCTGTGAAAGGCCTGACAGTTTCAAAAGGAGCCTAGAAAAACATATTAACATGTCCACCCTAGCCCTTCTAAATGATCTCAACTGCTGGTAGAGTGGTGAAACCATGACATTTCAATATTTAACTACAGACAGTACACTAGTTCCTAGACTAACCTAATAATACTTAGTAATTATGCATGTTCAATACTTGAAATTAGATTATCATTAAAATACTTAAAATGATTACTTACGCAGCAAATGTTCTCTTAGTTTATCACTCTTATTTCCCTTATAACATTCAGTTTTTGAGCCTAATGTATTCTTTGATAATACGAATTATAACACTGATTACACTCTTATTATACATAGATTGATTTACTTTACGGCTACCTGTAAGACTCACTAACTTTCTGTAGTATTGTTAACCAAATGCTTAAATTTTGTTGGTTCTGCTAATATCTTTTTATAATATATGTAGACAGGTTACTTTGCAATGTCAAATGTTTACTATATATAAAACTGTCGTGATAATTTAGTACACTTGGTCCTGCCAACCGACCTTACCTTCAGTTCATACTACCTATATTGAACCCTAACTATATTGTTCTGCTGAATCTTGCTCCACTATTCACAAAACCTATTCTTGTTATTCTTCAAGGTTTTTGACTTCTTATAAAGTAATCTGTTCATTAGGACGCATGCATACATATATAATATGTTCATAAAGATGTACGCGGGGACCTATTGGAAGCACTCATTAAGAAAGCTAGGGAGATGGAATATGGGGTACGAACATGTCTGGTACCAAGCAATATATTTGCGGTAACCATAATAATCATAGTCTCAGAGCCTAACATCAAAAAAGGTGGGAGGGTGGAGTTAGCTGATCAGTAGATATGGTGGGGGTCACTAAGGTGAATCGCCCCATTCTGCAGGAACAGCATTAAAAAATTTGAAGGCTCGAGATATTTCTGATTTTTATGAGGGCTTAAATCTTTATCTTGAAAAAGATAACAATGAACGCCTTGACAGATCATGCTTCTACCTTTAAATATATACCATTCACCCAGCCTATTGTTGAGATGCGACCATGTGGGATCTGCTCAGATTTATGGGGCATCTTACAAATTAACTTGCCGTCTATCGTCAGATCTTTTCATACCACTCCACAATGTCTTATCTCATTTATTTTCTGACAACGTCTTTACTTGATCCTCATTTTACTCCATTAAACTTAACATCTTATAGCTCTTCATTACTTATTATACTCCTACTCTCTGAAGGGTACGGTTGTGCACTAAATGCACGAAAAGGTATAAAATAAAAACAACTGGCATGAGGATAATTGTATTAAAACCAAAAGTGGATATCATGATAGTTTGTGATATATCTGTAGCATTATACATTGCAAATGAATGTTGTTACCCTAGGGTGTTTCCTTTATTAATGCATTTATTAATGATACTTGCACTTACCTATTTCATTACAATTTAATGATTCACCTCAGCACTTTAATTTTTCTAAAACAGATTCCAATCCCTTGTAAAAGGTGTACTTACCTCAATATTGGTTGGTTATCGTATGCCTACAACCACGGGATGAAAACGGAACGAAGTCGATTTTCCCGCTCAACCTGGAGGACAACTGTACAATTCAATAACTATACGGCCTAATTCAGAAAATGAGTGTATTATATGTATCGAATATTTAACAGTTGAAATACGATTAACTTGTAGACAATCTACGATTTGATATTATATCATACTTGATCGTGCCTGTAAAAATGGCATGCATTTTCATGTAAATTTGTAAATTTATATGAAATACATTATTATTATTATACAGAGCTTACGCCACTTTTCACTTTATGCATAGGCAGCTGGGAGCTGTTACTCCTGAACTATTCTTAAGGTTGTATACGACATACGTGAAGCCACTACTTGAGGTGCATAATATCATTACTCCTCCGCTACTCAAAAGGGATGCTAACATTCTAGAAAGTGTCCAGAGACGAGCGACAAAATGGGTGATCGGCCTCCGCAACAAATCATATGAGGAAAGACTGAAGAAATTAAGTCTTTTCACACTTAGTTACCGTAGTCACAGGGGAGACCTCATCACCGTCTATAAGATCTTAAATGACCAGGCCCACCCAAATAAAAGCATCCTGCCATTAAGTGATTATAGGCTTCCACGAGGTAACCCGCTAGGGATAGCAAATTAGAGACCAAGGACTCGAGTGCGTTCACATTTCTTTTCGCTTCGAGTTTGCCGTCTATGGAACGATTTACCGGCGGCCGTTACTACAGCGCCATCTGTGGAGACTTTTAAGCGGAAGCTGGACAATCATGCAGAAATGCATGGTTTGTGTCTCAATGGCTTACCCTCTTAAAATTTGAAACCACATTGTCAATGGATAAGCATACAAGCTAAATCCCCACGACCCGTCCTGTCTTCTCCCACTATACCGACTACTCTATCTTTTCTTTCTTTCTTATTTCACCTTTATTATTTCACTTATCTCAACCCATATTATGTACACTACATCTATTATTATTACTATTCTACTGTTATGACTATACCGAATGACCAACGGGTGTTAGGTCAAACTCCATCCACAGCAGCAGCTGATTCCTAACATACTGCACACTACAAACCACAATCTTGACCAATCCTCGCACCACTCCACTTGGAGTCTACCAGAGCTAAAGCAGTCGAGTGGCGGGATTTACTACGCATAAGTTCACCGAAGATCTGGAACCTCTACCTTGCAATCAAGAAGCGAGCTCAAAAAAATCACTGGTTTATACTAGCTCGTAATCAGGATATTGGATATTGGATATCTGATGGGAGGTTAGGATTTCTAAACATTTGATGTAGGTAATTTTATCCTGTCGTTAGTAAATTTAAAAGAAGTGAGGAGGACTGTGCAACTCCGATTTGAGTACGGTAGATAAAGAGGCTATGGAATTTTGAGTTCACAAATCCTGTAGCAGGAGGATATGAGGTTAAAAAGGCTCAAATCCATATCGTCACTTCTGTGCTTGAAGGTTACGAGCTTATAGTTTTATTGGTACAGCGAAAGAATCTACAAGAAATTGATTGGTATTCAGATGAGGATTAAACGAGAAAATATCACATACTTATTTTTGTTAAAGTAGGTTGAAGGCTGCAATTGGCCTAAACAGCTGTGGAATTAGGGAGACACTGACCTTAGAGCACTGTTCAAAAAACTATGGATTCGAGGTCAAAGCTTGTTCAAGCCTTTAATGATTATGGTGGCAGAGTTTCAAGCGAACAGCTCCTGAAATTTATAAAAGAGGATAGTGAGTTGAGTCAAGGTATGTTGGAGATCCGGGTTTCCTGATCAAGCTGTATTATTAACCTAAATAAGAGTGCTACAGCAGCCCGCGATTACTACGTGTAACAGATTCAGATTTTTAGATTGGAGATAGGAGTTTTGAATCCCATCTTAATCCTTTTCTGGTAAATTTCTGTGCTTTTCCAAAAGCCTTTTGGACAAATCAATTGAGGGCGCTAACACAACTTCCTCTGGGAGTCGTTTCCAGGAGTTTATTAGAGGACCGGTACCCCCACAGTGGTGCAGTCTTTCCTTGGCTTTTGAGCTCTACTGCTATGCCCTCTAAGGTGTCTAGACCTTGTGGAAAGGAATAGAGTAAATAGTAGTCATTATCTAAAATCTTAAACATTGTAATGAGATCTCTGGCTACTGTATGTCAAGGAGAAAAGATTCAGACTGTGTAGTCTTTCGTCTTATGATAAATTGGTGATGCCAAGAATCCTATGTGTTGCCTTCCGTTGAACCCTATCTAGACTGTGTGAGTTTCCCTTAAGAGAAGGACTGGCCTTGACCTCTTCAGAAATGTATGCGATTGTAGTAAACGCCCTGCATATTGCCCATAAAGATCCGAAACTACGAGCTGTCACTGAGCGACAGTGCTGTGGTTTTTAAGCCGTGACTTATTATGATTCCTAGGTCCATATGAGTCTGAATTGATGGAGTTCATTTGTTTTAGTCCTGTCTGCCAAGCTGATGACTTCCAACTAAACCACCTTAGGGTGTGGAGTTGCGAAAATAGATGTCTGATAGTAGGTGACCTTAATGCCCCACGTAATAACTGGGGAGGTGAAACTAACATCAACCAGCCTGTACACGTGTTTCGATAGAGAACTTCCTCTGATAGTCCTCGAATGCGCATCTGTGCAACCCGAACACGACCCTTCAACCGTGGACTTAGTACCAACGCCAAAAGGAGAATGTATGCGACATTAGTTGCCTCCCACCATTAGGCAGCAGTGACTGCGTCGTCATTAATATTAATTTTAGGATTCATGGCTACATCCATGTGGAGAGCGGATATATCAGCTATATGGTACGCATCAACCCTAACTGACTGGTCGGTTTTACACCAATGAATCTGTAGAGGAAGCTTGGGTGAGATTTAAGAATTCGTTAGAATGTATCAGTTCACTTTTTGTACCTTGGTCTACTCCTCGGAAGCTATCGCACAAACCATCTTGGAAAAGTGGTGAAATAAGTTGACTGAGGAAGCGGAAATGCTTATGGAATCAGTCAGCTTTAAACGGGATGAGTTTCGGATAGACTGTCGTAAAATTTAGAACCTACGCAAGTATGTGATCGACAAAAGGCGTACATAATACGAGAGACTGGTTGCCAAAAGACTGAACTCATATAAAACGTAAGACTAAAATAAGCGGCAGTATGCCGTCATTTATAAACAATACAGGTGAGGCTGCCAAGTTTGATGAAACGAAGGATGTAACCTTTCGGAACACTTCCTTGTTGTTTTCTTGTCTGATCGTAACACCCAGGGGCTTAGTGAGGTCCCTGTCACCGCCCAAAAGTGTCCTTTATTATGGTTTATGGTACGGTGGTTCGTAGTCAGTTATCTCATTGTCAATAGATATGAACTTGCCGACAGTTGATATGACCGAGTGGACTTATGCGTGAGTATAATAACACTGATGCAGTGGACTGATATACTATCTAAAGTAAAACCAAGCAAGTCATCAGTGGCTAACGGACTCCACCCTAGACTGACAGCCTTCTTAGCTGATATAATGTAATTGCCGCTTAGAGGGGCTTTCAAAATGCCTCTGACTCAGGCTAGGTTACATACGGGTTGGAAGGACGCAGTTATAACCCCGTCTTCAAATAGAGAAAAAGCCATCTAACTACTGGTTTGTAAGTCAGTTGTGCAGTATGACAAAGGTATTAGAAATGACCATGAGGGGCCAGTTATTAGCGCATGTAGAGGAACACAGCCTACTGGGGGGGGGGACAGCATAGATTCAGATCAGGACAATCCTGCTTCACTAACTCACTGTCAGCTAGGGGAATTTCGCTAAAGCTAGAGATAGAAGAATGCCGTTTGACGTAGTTTTTATTGATCTTTAGAAAGCATTCTATGAGGCTTCAGTGAATCAAAGTGGTTTGGATTATATTAATGCCTGCTATTGGCTCAGGGACTAGCTACTGTGTAGAAGATAAAAGACAACAGTTATTTTTGTACTGTCGGAGTGGAAACAGATACCGAATGGAGTACCACATGGTGCTGTTCTGAACATCTTGTTATTCCTACATGCATAAAGGAATTGCCGGAAGTTCTTACCTCATCTTGATTATTATTTGCGGACGATATTAAGATCAGGAAAACTGTAAATAATAATGATCAGTCTTGCAATTTGATCTAGATAAATCAACTGGATGGTCTGGAGTTTGAGAATTAATTCTATAGAAAGCATTGTAATGCACCTAACTGAGGAGTCTTACAAGTTATACTTCCTTGGGGATACAGAAATGTCTGGTGTTAAGGGACAAACGGACTTGGGAATTATTGTAGGCCATGACTCGAAAACAAGTGCATACTGTGATACAGCTGAGGCGAGGGTTCTTCGGATGCTATAAGAACTTGTAAATGCTTAGATGAGTCTCTGTTTTAAATACTCTACTCAACATCACACCTTACTTCTAGAATACTGTATACAGGTGACTAATCGATGTTCTTAGGAGGCTTGAGTCTTGGAAAGAGTACAAAGGACAGGAACTAAATTAGTCAGAGGTATCCCTAACCTTCCTTATGAGAAGGGGCTTGAATACTGGAACCTCTTCACACTATCATACTGAAGGAGTAAAGGTGATTTAATTTTAACATATTGAAGGGTGATGTGGGTGTTAAGCTTCCTAACGTTTTCCTTCCTCCTAGGATACCTTTGGAATACTATCACAAGGTGCTCAAACCGCGTTCGGACAACATGCGTGTGAAATTTAGATTCTCATGTAGGGTGGTGAGCGACTGGAACTCCTTACCCGATCAAGTGGTATCAGCTGGATCAGTGGTCACTTTCAAAGAGAAATTAGATTTCTATACAGATACATATTGCACGTGTGTGCATCTTTCTGTACCCCGAGTAGCAGTCTAATTGGAGCCGGTTAGTTAGAAAGTTGTCATTTTCTGTGTGGGATAGTTAGAAGTAGTCCCGGGTATATATATCCTAGTAAGATGAAAACAGCATTCATTGGTTTTTGTATGTCCATAACTAACTGTCTCCATTATTTCCTAAGACGAACTTCAACGATGGACAGATGCTTCATAAGATGTTTGTGACAAGTAGCTTGTATTATTTCTGTTTTTCTTTTGATGCTGGATATTTTGATATCATCGTGAGAAATAATGAATAGTCATTGTTATCACTTTCAAACAACAGTCTGCCTTGTGAGGCGTACAATAATCTAAAGCTTAGTTTTACGTTTATTCCTACTGTCAATCTTGTATTTCATGACTGAAAATAGGGTTAGTCAAAAAGAATTAAGTGTCCTAGATATATTGGTAAAAATTATAGTTCTAATTATTTAAAGCCACTTCTTTCCGCCATTCAATGGCTATTAACTTTGCATGTTTTGATTTTAAATTTTATTTCTAGAACCGAGAAGTTGTATAAAGAGAATAGTTGGTTCGATCGCTGTGATTGAATATGGCTCGGTATGAGATCTGTTTGTCTCGATTGTATTTTCTTCAGGATCGGAAAAGATATCTAGTTTTGAAAGACTTAGTTCGTGATAAGGAGAATCTTGTCTGCAACGTAAGCGTGTGTTTTGCATTTAATCATTTATTAGACTGTATGTCAGTCGACTCAGACGTCGACGTCGCAGGTTGTGGGAAGGCCAATGTGTAAGGTAAAGATGTTCATATTTTAGATTTGTGTTGATTTCAGGTTTCCAGTGAAATTAGTCGACCACAAGAGCGAGTAAGTAGTCTGTTTAAATCTATTTTGTTCCTCGTCGTCTAATTAGGAAACATTTTTTTTTGATATCATAAATTATCTTAGTAATCATTTCAGTTGGAGGACATTTGACTGTGTAGTAAGGAATGAAAGTGTAAACTCGAAGGATTTTGGGATTCTTGAAGTGATATCAGACGGCGGTAAGGTGATGCATTCATGATCTGTTCGTACAAAAATTTTTAAGGGTGTCATAGGTAAACGTGTATGTTTTAGAATGATTTATGTATTCGCATAAGGGTTTTCTCCTCAAACGTTCATCTGTATAGACTTGAGAGTTTAGTTAGTTACATTTTCGCTTCTTTCCGGTTGGCGTGTTCAAAAGCTAAACCTGTACTCTTATCTTTATAAGGTTAGATCTGTAACTGTATTGAGTTCTTTGACGAGTTACCCACTACTTCTAATTTGGCTCAATTATCTGAGCCGTGGGTCCTTGGTTTTAAGCAACTCCACCTACTTGAGCATAGACAACTTGATAGTTTCACCAGCTGTCACATAATAAGTTCAGCTCATGGAGCTGGTCTGGTGTATTGCAAATCCGTTTCAGGTAGCGTTATATTGAAGTGTTTTCTTAACATATTTGTGTGATGCTAATCTGCAAGCGGTTCCGAGACCTCCGTAATTGTTCTGTTTTGTTACCGATAATAATGTGGCACTACTACTGCTGCTTTGATTTTTCAGGTTCAGTTGGATCTATTCATGGCGGGTAATATGCTACCTTGGTGCATATCATCGTCCCACGGTTTCGTGTTTTCCATGTGTCCATTAGTAGGCATTAGTATTTCTGTTCTTTTTCGGTGATCGTAACTGTTGGCAGGTAACGGATCTAATCCCAATGTATGTGTGATGAAGGCTAGTCTGACTGTCTGTGTAAAATGAACGCAATGTCATAAGGAAAATTTCAAGTCCGAAGTGTGGCATTAGTTTTTGTGTCAGTCTCCTACTAATGATGACTTCTGTTGGTGTTAATTAATTAATGGCGAAATGCTGGAATCACAGATAGGCGGCTTTTTGCCTAACAAAGTATTCCCTAGAGATTTTCTTCTAATTCTGTTGTAATTTATTTGAGTGACTCAACAATTTGGTGTCTATTGACACCCGTAATTGAGGTAAATTCATGTTTAATAATATTGAGAATAACTTGAAATGAATGGATATATTCTCCTAGAGGTTTTTTGAGCGTAGAACATAATGAGTTTTATAAATGTATAAGAATTTGGACGAGTTTTATGTCTGTTCTTTGTATATCTATCCTAGCCAGTGTTACAAAGACCAACCAGCAGTGTTTCACTGTCTACTAAAGCTTCTCACATGTATTCAACATACACGGGTAGTGAAACTCGTCTTTGGTGGTTAGCAGCTGTTGATTGTCGATTGGGAGATATGAAACGTCTGCTAGGTTTAAATCCAAAACTAGCGAATTGGAGTGTAAGTTATGAATTAATGCAAATTTTTTGTGTGCGCATGTTTGTGTGGTGTAAGACAAGTGAAAGATGAAAAATGTTACTTTCTTGTGGCTGCATTAATAATGTAGTACGTCGTGTTTAAGAAATAGTACGGACTAGGATTTCTGAAATTTTCTTCCGTGTGGTAAAACTCACCGTTACTTTCTATGTTCGCTTTCTGGGTTCGCTACACCCGACCTAATGGGCTGCGCTAATCGTGACTTTTCACTAGAGCTCTAGGCCATCATCACGCAAAATTAGTGAGGCTATATCTCATTCTAAGAAGATAATTTATGAATGAGTGGCGTAGGCTGTAGGTTTTGTTCGGATTCCACTCTGAGTAGTATTGTGCCGACGGTTACTAGCTCAATTCAAGTCATGGTATCATGCCGCATGCTGCACGATTGGTAATCAAACCAAGTTGTAAGACACAGTGAATTGTGTTCGATTAGTTAAGATTATGTTTGCAATGCTGTTGTCTCCCATCAAAGCAAATATCTCGAGATAGCATGGTTAGTTGAAGGGCAACTTACATATTTTCCAAATGTTCCACTGTGACTTCACCACCCAGCTCAGAAACTCACCGTATTATACCATTTAACACTGGAGATAGACGACAAATACCTAGGGTTAGAGAAAAGTAACCTCTTCCAGTCTCCTGCTTTCACCGACCACGTCAGAACCACAAATGATGTGTGAGCGAAATTTTGCGCAGTACACACGTCCTCTGATCGGTAGCCGGATATCGCGTGTTCACTGGAGATGAGATAAGCAGCTTCCAAGTCAGAGAATGTGGCAAGTGTTGGACGCCGGTGAGTATGCTTATATTCCAGAATCTGTCGATCAGTACAGCGTCTTCAGACCCAATCGTGACTCCATAGTTACACTATCTTGTTGTCCGTCCGGAGAGACTAAAAAGATGTTCTAGATGTAAACCTGTACTCGAAGGAAGCTGGATTCAGGGAAAGCAAGTCATGTACTGACCAAATTGTAACGCTACACTTCATGATCGAACAGGGCAGAGAATGGGAGTCGAGTCTCTACCTGAACTTGACCGACTTTAAATAGACCTTCGACAGCGCTGACCGCTAAGTGATTTGGAAACCGCTTCAGCAATACGGAGTGCAGTGTTGTTAACCTTTTTGCAGCTGATTCGACAGGTATATGACAGTGCCACATGTCAAGTGATCCACAGCGGAAAACTCAACGAAGGCTTTGAAGTGGATAGAGGAGTAAGGGAAGGTTGTATACTATCACCGATGATATTCCTAATTGTGGCAGATTGGATCATGCGACACACTGTGCGTGTGGTGCGAGAAGACAGGAATACGTTGGACCGAATGGAAGACACTAGGTGATTTGGACGTCATAGGTGATTTACATCTAGTGTTACACAAAGTCGAAGATCTACAGGCGAAAACCAACAAACTGGCGGAAGAAGCAACAAAAGCAGAACCTCAAGTAGACATATAGAAGACAGATATGATGAAGATGCTCACCGACCCACAACAACACGCACGAATCACTATCGACAAGAGGAATTTGAGGTAGGTCACTTCTTTCTTGTATTTGGGCAGCATTGTTTCAACTACAGGCGACGCGGATGAAGATGACAAAGTTAGAATTGGGAAAGCAAGGCAGACATTCATTATTCTGAAATCGATGTGGAAATCTGCTGCAATCAGCATACGTGTGAGTTGGAAATTCAAAGTGCATCTGAGTCGGAGCTGTATCAATCTGAAAGTTGGTGTTCTAGTATTCAAGTTGTTATCTTGCAAGTATTTGGACAGGAAGGAAATCGTCTCCGTAATCGGGATATTTGTGAAGAGTGACTCGACATCAGGTGATATCGCACTTTGACTTGTTTAATGCAGTCGACGAATTCAAACGTTCACTAACAGGCTGTAGGAGTTCTACCAGACGTTTCTCAATTGAATGATAACGAGATCTAGAGAAGTCCAAAATCGGGCGTCATGGTAGTGCATGTTTACATGTTTCCGGTAGTTCGTACAACTGAGGTTTTATTCAAGCATTTAGTCGAATGTTTTCGTTTACATCTGAATTAATTTAATCGCTCTTTAGCTCTCTGAATATTTCAGTGAGTTGGATTTCATTGATTTTCAGTTTTGTCTTTCTCTTTGTTAGATACTGCGAAGTTGCTTTGTCGTCATAAAGAATTGCCAAAACTTTGTGAATATGGATTTTTCTACCCATTAGGACTATGAGTGTACGTTTATCAGGGCGTTTGATCAACAGTTGTTTGTTACAACTCGGTTGGTTGAGTTGTTCTCTGCGTTCGTTAGTCAAAAGATTATTTTGCGTAGACTTTGCACTGAAATATTGATGGCATGAGTCCAGAATTGTTGACTTTGAATGTTTGAACTTCTGTTGAGAGGCTGAGAGAAGATGACTAGTTTGACTGGTCAAATTTTCAGACTTCATATATGTATGGAGCTTGTTTGGTTTTTGATTCACGTCTCAGAATTCTGATGCAGCAAACAAGGCCTCTATTTGTAAAGGAGATAGAGTTACTGAAGAATAGTTGAGCATAAATTTAGTGGAATCTTCCGGGAATTTGGATTGTACTTCTGTAGCTTTCAAACTTTTCATTAGGTTTGAATGAATGGTGTGTGTTTGCGGTTCTCCTCACATATAGTGACATATTTGGTGAATGCTTGACATTCGTCACATCTCATCCCACATAACGTAGAGGATCATTGTGCTATATTTCTCTGCAGTTCTGGGACACGAGAGAGTGAAATAATGTTCAGTAGATTTCGAATGGTGATAGAGATGACTTTGGATATTCGTGGTTGTTTATACAGTCAGTTTCCACGTGCTCGTAGAGAGGCATTCCTTGTCGTGCCTCTTATTTCTTCCTAGGGTGGTTGTACAAGTTTCCTTCCATATCACTTTGGGAGAGTTCCAGTGTTCTTTGATGCAGGTTACTTTAGGGATGATACGTGATATCTCCCAGCCTTCTCTCATGGCTGCAGTGAATTTGTCCTTTGTGTTTTGTCCTTCAGTTTTTGGATGTTGAATTTGGATTGTGGTATATCTCCGGCTTCTTTGAAGAGTCCAAACTTGATTTTGAAGGTTCCTTGTACTAGGTAGGTAGTGATCCGAGCTCACATCTGCTCCTCTTCTTGGTTTTGTGTCCACCAGCCTGCATTCCGACTTTCTTGAGGTAAAGGTGAAGTCTGTCTGATTTTTGATGTGTCCATCTGGTGAAACTCATGTCGCCTTGTTCATGTCCCTGTGCTTGTATACACTACCTGCAATCACGAAATAATTGAAGGTGCAGAAGTCTTCAAAGAGTTCTCTGTTCTCATCGATCTCACCGATGGCCTTCAGACCCATGATGACTTCCCTTCCTGTTTTGTCTGCTCCAAGTTTGGCATTCGTATCAACCATTAGAATTTTGATTTCACCTGTCCGTGCTCTGGTCTCTTACTGTTTGCTGTTGTCTTCAGAATTCTGCTGTTGATGTGAGTTGTTTGTAGGAGTGCGACATTTCATCTAGTGCTAGAGAATCCGGGCACTTCCATGCCACATTTTCTCATTTCTCTGTCATTGTAGTCAACCTTTGCAACTTCAAATATCGTGTGCACATTCCATGTCTTCATGCTTACTTTTGCTTTGATCAAGAGAAGACACATCGGCTGGTTGGCTTCTTGGAGGCCTTGAATAGCCGGCGTAAATTTGTCTCTTCGATTCCAGTGAAGTAAGAATTTCTCTTTTGAAGTTTGTGTAACAATTGAATTGATTTATCGGGTTATGGTCTCCAGCCCGACTCGAAATCTTTTCTGTTTTACTTGGATTAGGACTGGCTAGTGAACTGGAAAACTAGGGTGAGGTTATGAAGCAAGATGGCATATGTGATTGGAGCCTTAGAGTAGTTGTTGATATATTTCGTCAATAATCAGTTAATTGAGGCTGATACAAGTTGCCAAATAAGTGAGATAGTCAATACATTGAACTATGTCACTCGTTATCCTCATAGCAGGAGTCGGTACAGATTAGTCCTGAAGTGTTGTTTTACATCTGGTGAAGGAATGTCGCATGTCAAGTATGCTGAGATTTTCGTTCGATGTATGAAGAGGATTTCGGATTTTGTTAGTCTCTACGCTTAGAGGGAAAATATCGTTCCCGTATTCTGCACTAATGGCTTTTCTATGGTAACAAGTTCATCCTGAGACATCAGGACTGATCTGGGTCATACTTAAAAGTGTATCGTTGGTGAAACTGAGTGAGGTTGGTGACAGTGGACATCGTTGAAGTATGCCACTGGCTGACTTCACTTTCTTGACACTGTTCATAGTCAGAAATTGCCACAGTGTCCGTCAATCTATGGAGCAGAATCTGGTTGTCACGTTGGGAAATACGGTGATTGCTGAAGAAATATTGGCAACAGAATTCGTCTTCATTTTCACTTTGTTATAGGTAGGCTTGTGGTGTTGAAATGTCTGTGGTGTGCATTGCACCGAGAGACAGCTTTGTAAACCAAACAAACTGGTTGGCTGCATAAATCTACGGATAGATGGTGTTTCCTTTCTGTGTTGCGGGATAATATTTGTTTGAGAATCATAATATGAAGTGAGTTTCAATCGCACATACCAGGATTAAAATCACAAATGAAATGGAAGACAACTATCAATTTGTTGACAGATCCATCCAACCAATAATAATCTGGCGTAACCACGTCGGTAATTCACGATCAGACAGTGATACAGTATCAGCGTGCAAAGTTCCGCGTTGACAAGTTGACGCCTAGTTGAAGTCGTTACCATAATTGATTGCTGTTCCAGTATATGCTCTTGACAGTCAACACGCCCTTCAGATACACAAATTTAGTGCACAAGCCGTCTTTTGACCCTCGGTTATCCTCCTCTAGGAGTGCATTTCTTTCTTATTCTATTGAGGTGAGGTGGTTAAATCATACATTTGTGATGTTTCCTGGTTTGTCTATAGTTGCAAGTAGTG